TCACAGTTTGTACTATCCATAAGATAAACAACTACATATAAAAAATATTCCCTCAGATCTTCTGGAGATGGAGGTGGTAATCAGATAAAAAAGGTAACGAATATTCCCTCATAACTAATATTTTAACTTCTATTACTTCCATATCTAAATAAGTTAAAGAAGATAGAACAGTTGAGAGAAAGTGAAGTCAGTAGTTTGGAAATATTTTTTTCTTGTTTATTTGTTGGATTAAAATTGTAAGTTTTATTGATAATGTAATTCCATTTCTTTTTTAATATAAAATCATCGATTTCAATTATCTGATTAAACGATTATTTTCTTTTGTAATAACAGTGTTACCAAACTCAATTCTATTATTTATACACTAAGCAATTACCATTGCTTTGCTTGTCAAATTTTATCCAATACCAAATTATTGATTACAGATCTCAACATTGCTTGATGCCTTGAACAAGTACTGGCCATCCTGCAGTTGTAGCTTTGTACCAAACTACCATAATGAAAAAGTATTGTTCTGAAAACATAAGGTGATTTTTAATAGCTATTTGTTCATTAGATTTGATGATTTCATTACTTGAAGCTAATTATTGCTCCCTTTGTTTATTTCATATTTGAAATAGAGCATAACCTGAAACACTGAAGTAATCATTTTTGCTTTATGTAAATTATTTTGTAGTTTTATCTTTTCCATTTATAGTCTGCTCAATGGAGCTTATTATTTATTAATAGAAGATCATTAGTTTAATCACAAAAGAGGATTATATTCTCGCGCGTAGATATATCTACATTTTTACCCCTTTAAAGTTAGTTAGACGTAACAGTATAGCTAGTTTGAAAAAAATAGAATTGAAATTGAAATGATTAAGAATGTGTAGAAACCTATCGTTTGTTTTAAAAATTACAAAAATTAGAATTGGAAGCAGTGAGAATGTGTAAAAAATTACCATTTCTTTTTTTTTTTGTTGCTAAGCTTGTGTAAGAGAGAATGGTTGTGTAAGAGAGAGAAGTTGTGGGTTTGAGAAAAGAACATGAAAAAAGATATGTAGTTTGCGCAAAGATATGCAGTTTGCGCAAGTGTGACGGAGGTAGGATGCGCCTATGTTGTCGTGCACTGAGGCTTGCTGCCTTATTAGCGTGCCTCCGTGCACGCGGACGGAGGCACGACGTGCCTCCGTTCGCGTGCAAGGAGGTACGCTG